AAACCTGGAAAATATTTTTGACAATGAGGTTCAGTAGTATCTCTTAGGACACAATTTCATGAATGTTTAGACAGAAAAAAGTCCAACTGAAAAAGTCCCCAGAATTTCCCAGCTGTCAAGGCTACCTGAAGAATGCTAGGAGCTATAGAACTTTTTCTGTCTAAACATTCATAGGATTGTGCCCTTGCTAGGTAACTTCACAGCTCTCTATTTCTGATGTGTACCTTCAGCGGTCTTCTTCTCAAAAGGTTTGAGTTCGACTTTAATTTCTTTCTCTTGTTTAGCTTCTTCCACCTCAGGCTTCTTAACGGCTCTTTGGACTTTAAAAAAGAAAGAATTTTCTTTCAAGATCAATATGATGAACTGATGGGAGACTTAGGCATAAGAATCTGTTATTTAAATAAGCAGGGAAACAGAAGAAATATAAAGTAACCCCTTCATATATCTCAGAGGTAGATGGGCTGTGTTTTATAGCCACGGTTACAGTCATCCCCACACTTTGCATAAGGAGAACAATTCTCTCCTCTTTCTCCATGATCACCATGGAAAATCTGCATAGCCTAATAATCTATCCTCAGTCTCCATCAAGGAGTCCCTTCTGAGAGGGTGATGAAATTCATGCATGGATTACTACATATCCAAAGGTGAGAGCAGCACTGGGTCCTTTGGTGTGGAAATAACACACTGATCAGAACTTCCCAAGGACTGGGAGTTTCCTGCTTTGCCTAAATGTATAGTAGCAGTAGATGTATTTACCTGAATCTGGCAGAACTCAAACCAGTTTTCCCCAGAATCTGCAGTGGAGCTATCCATTGGATAGCTGGATAGATACCAACTGGTGGACTTTTCAAGAAAGGTCATAATAGCTTGATGCATATATGAGAAAGAAGTGCTTCCTGTTGATCTCATATCAAGACAGTAGTCCTTTTGGGTAACAACTTACAGGTGTCCATATTAAGAGCTACGCAAATTATATTGATGAATAATAAATAAATAATGGTACAGAATCCCTATGGCTTTTAACAAGAGACACAGTCAAATAGCCATACCTTTTTTCAGAACAACTTCTTCCTTAGGTGGAGGAGGGGGAGGTTCAGGACGTTGTTTTCGTGCTTTCAGCGTAGGTGCTTAAAATGATATTAATTTCAGAATAAGGTGACCAGTAATTATGGCCATCTAAAAGATACCCACATCATGCACCAGGTACCATTTTATAGAATATGCATAAAAAGCAGAGCATTAGATGATTATAAAAGCTGCTTCTTAGAAAAATCTCTTAGAAGAAAGACGTAGTCTTTAGTTCCATTTGAATGATCACAGAACAGAAAAATCAGTTACTCTTTCAATTTGGGGACAACTGTTTCTCAAATGTTTTTTTCCCAAAAGAAAATGTATTTATTTTATTAAAACAACCATGAACTTCTAATTTTTATATTCCATTGTAATATTTGTTCTTCATCAGAACTTTACTGTCATTGTCAACAACTCACAGAATACCCGGTCTGAAATAAAAGCAAGCATGCTTCAATGAAAACAGAGAAGTGAGTTAAACACAGAACAACCATGGTTAGTCACATATGGAAAGAAAAATGGATATTATTATGAAAAATACTAGAAAGGACTATCTGGTGCTCTTTAAAGACAAGAACAAGACAGATGAATATGTGGATGAATCACCACATAGTGGCATTGGCCGGAGAAGAGGTCTTTGGGGGGTATATACAGCCTGAGGACCTTACAATGCCTGATCATATATTGATTCCCCCTGCCCCAGGAGTCTAGAAGGCATGAGATCCACTTTTGTTGAAGTGTCAGTGGGCAACAATATTCCTTCTTGCCTCATGAGCTATCAGGTTTCCTCATATGACTGAGTGTTCCTACTTTGAATCTTCCAGAGTAAAATAAGTATAAGCAGAGGGTAGGAGGGTAATTGCTTCAGAGGGGAAACTCCTGGTATCGGAAGATAATTGTGGGGGATGGGCAGTTACAGCTTGCTAGAAAAAAGCAAGCAGCAAACTGAAGAAAAAAGTGTTCAGAGATTGTGGCATACACTTGAATGAGCAGGCATCATTTTTATACTATGCAAGTCCTCAGGTCTGGAGGGCTGACACAAAACCATCCTCTAAGAAAAATGCTATTCTTACTTAGTTCAAGGACTGAACTGTATTTGACTTTTCATTATGCCCTACGTCATTTGAGATTATATCTCAAAGTGTGAGATCTCAAGTGGCTAGTTTCAGAATCCTTAATAAAATGCAAATCAATTCTACATATACTTAATTATTTTTAAAATCTGCTGTGAATTTTCCTTAATAAAGACAAGAACATCTCTTTTTTCCTTCCTTAATCTTTTGAGCTCCACTTTATCTATCCATAATTCTAAATAACAAGGTTTCCATGCTTGACACATGCGGCTTCAAAAATTCTGGGTACAATTCAGAGAAATGTAGAAGCAGTTTCACACGCTCAGTGGGCTTTGGACTTGTGAATTTCAAAGAGGAATCACATGCTGAGAGTTTCTCAGCTTATGCTGTGGCATTGTGGTTAGCTAGACCATGCTAAAGGTCTGGTTGAAAAAGCATAGGCCCTGAAGCCTAACTCTGGATAAGCAAGTCTCTGGATTGTGAGCCCAAATTATAGTTTGAGAAGAGTACCAAAAAAGAAAAAAAAAAAGAAAAAAAAAGAAATCAAGAGGACAGTTTAAATAGTTATCCATCCTATGGATCAAAACCCACAAACCAACAGCATAAGACATTGTTGGATATTTTCAGTGAGCCAGAGCATTAATCCAAAAGCCATTCAGACAACATTCAGTTAGACTAACATTAATATATTAACAGCGCAATCCTATATATCTCTATTCAACAGTAAGTCCCATTGAGTTCATGGGGGCTCATTGCCATATAGATAAGTATAGGATGGCAGTCTGGATGTCACACTTGCAGAGAATACAATCATGTGTCAATGCGGTGCATTCATTATGTAACTGAGGCTTAGCAGAGCTGTTAAGTACTGTTTGAGGACCCTACTGATACCTTTAAGCTGAACCTTTTCCTCCTTAACCTCCTCTTTGGGTGGGAAAGGCACACGGGGTTTAGGTTTCTCAGGTATCTTCTTTTCTGGTTCTGGCTCTTTAAATGATATGGTGGTACATTCAGTGCAAATGTAATTGTGCTATAATATACACCTCAGCTAAGAACATCCATTGCATATTTAAAAAAACTTCTAGAGATTGCTGTAATGCTATTAAAAAAATAAGTAATTCAGATTAAAATATCTGATATGCCGAAGTTAGGAACGATCCTAAAAGAGTCATTAGTCACTTAAATGGGAAAGGTAATATAAAGGAATGTTTTCCAGGCCAGAGATGTGAATGTTCAACATATATTAAGACACAAAGTCAACAAAGACAATGTATGTACACAAGTGAAAAAGAACAATGTGTACTGACATGTACACATACTTCTAACACACTTGCATAGTTTCTACATGGCAAGATGGAGAGGTACGATATTAAAGCAAGCTGTGCGTTTCATCCCAACTCTAGTACTACATATACCTTCTTCTGCTGGAATTATCTCATCTTTTTCTGGAATAGGAGTAGGTATTGGTTCTTCCTGTTCAATTTCTTCTGTAACTTCAGCAACTTTTTCTGGCTCTTTAAAGAATATTGATAACTAGCATAAGATTGCCATTTATAAGACTGGGTGGCTAGAAGAATTGTACATAGAACAGCTGAGACATACTAACACAGAGACAAACAGTGCAGATTTTGCAAAGGGGTTGGCTCTGGGGCAGGATGCAAATGAGGGGAAGAAACAATGCCCCTGACCAAAGCCTCTGAGGCTGGTCTGATGCCAGGAGGCCTCGGCATACATCACCATCAGCTGGCTTGTGCCTACTGGAAACAAAGGGACTTAAACTGTTGAATTTTGTCAGGATTTCGCTCACTGTCTTAAATGCAGGGTGTTGTGATTGCATAGACAGTAATTTGTAATTTGAAGGAGTGATGATTTTATAAAGAAAATATTCAAAGAAATGGAAGATTTTAGTGACCTTTTTCATGGTTCTTTTATCCATTTTTAGAATAGTTTGCATAATGAAAGCAGACACTATCCCATTCCTCTGTGCTATACATTTACAAACATAATCTCATAAATACAAAACCAAATGAAGACGTAATAGACCAGAGGTGGATGACATTGACATGAATAAGAGGAGTACCTTCAGCTGGCACAGTTTCTGGCTCTTCTGGCACAGCAACAGGTACTTTTTCTTCTGGCACAGCTTTCTTGGGCACTTCCGGAACTTCAAAAGATTTTAATTTATTTTATTTTCATGGTTATTAGTAGTGGTTGGACACAAAACATTTATAGTACAGACAGTGATGCCAAAGATATTTACGGTGTCCTCCAGTTAGGCTCAGCATACACTTTACAGACTTTAGCAGAATACAGAGATCCAACAATAGACTCGACATAAAGTATGTTAAAAAAGTGAGATAATTATTTTCTCAAGGGATGTTAATGTACCTTTGGTGGGTGGAGGTTCTCTTTTTTTAAGTACAACAGCAGGTATTTTCTTTTCTGGAACAAGTTTCTTGGGTTCTTCAGGCACTTTAAAGATAATATTGCTGCTTTTAATTTCAGAATTAATGAAGTAAAAGATATCAGTACAAAGAAGAGGAACAGAGGATTAAAGACTTGTCAAAAACAAAATTAATGCTACAGACATAGAATTATACAATTATACACAAACATATACAAACTTCAGGGGATAATATGAAGACTGGGGATTTCTAGTCAGACAGAATTGAAGAATAGATGACACTGAAGACAGCATTTTAAGACATTTTAAGAAGAAGATGGAAACACTCTTCTCTAGGTGTTTATATCAGTGCAAACATGTACCTTTAGGTGATGGTGTTTTGATTTTTTTAGGCACAGGAGCTGGAACTTTCTTTTCTGGGACAGCTTTCTTGGGTACCTCAGGCACTTTAAAGATATTAGTTTGTTTATTAAAAGACTGGGAAAACCCATGAAACCACAGGCATATCAGACATTATCTGATCAGAATATTATCTGATCAGAATATTCGAGTGAATATTTCCACACATACATTGCAGTTTAGATCCACTAATGTGATGGACGCTTTATACCCATACACGTATAAACAAATTATTTTGCAGAATCAAAAAGCACCTTATTTCCTTATTGCTTCTCTCGCCCCCTTTCTTCCTTTCTTGCGCACACACACACACACACACAACAAATGCATACATACAGTTCAGCTTTATCTACAAGACTGCTTTTTGAACTGTTCAACAAAAAGTTGGCAAAATAATGTGTGTCAAAAATCTGCTTTACAGATGACACATCTTTCATGTAGAGAATACTATGTCATGTACCTTTTGCTGGTGGATATTCGGGTTCTTTAGGTACCGCAATTGGTTCTTCAGGAACAGCAACGATTTCTGGTTCAGGCTCAGGTTCTTCCGATGGGATGACGGCTTCGGGTTCCTCAGGAATGTATTCTTCAGGCTCTGGTATTTCATACTCCGCAGCCTGTTCAGGTTCTTCAAATGCTGCCAAAGCCTGTACTTCTTGGTGGACAGGCACATAATATCGCTCTCTGTATCCAATAAACGTCTGTACCTTTTGTTCTTCTTCATGCTCCTCGGCCTCTTTAGGTGGGTGTTCTGGTTTTTTAACTGCAGCTTCTGGTTTCTTAGGCTCAGCTGGAGGTTCTCTTTTTTTCAGTGTAACAGCAAATTTGGGCTTTCTAGTCAGTTCAGGAGGTTCTGGTTTTTTGGGCACAGGTTCTGGCTTTTTGGGTTTTGGTTTTTTGGGTACTGCAGTGGGTTCTGCTTCTTTAGGTACTGCAACAGGCTTTGGTTTTTTAGGCACAATAGGAGGTGCAGGTTCTTCAGGCACAGCAATCACCTCTGGTTCTTCAGGAGCAGCAACAACTTCTGGTTCTGGTTCTGGTTCTGGTTCAGGCTCAGGTTCTTCTGATGGGATGATGGCCTCTGGTTCCTCAGGAATGTATTCTTCAGGCTCTGGTATTTCATACTCTGCAGCCTCTTCGGGTTCTTCAAACGCAGTTATAACCTCTACCTCTTGGCGGACAGGCATATGGTGTCGCTCTTTGTATCCAATAAACGTCTGTATCTCTCGTTCTTCTTCATACTCCTCAACCTCTTTAGCTGGTGGTTTTTTAAACACGACTTCGGGCTTCTTAGGCACAGCTGAAGGTTCTGGTTTTTTAGGCACAGGAACAACTTTTGGCTTTTTAGGCACTACGAGAGGTTTTTTGGGCACAGGTTCTGGTTCCTTGGGCACAGCAGGAGGCTTGGGTTTTTTAGGCACAAGAGCAGGTTTAGGTTCTTCAGGAATAGCAACAGGCTCAGGTTCTTCTGGTGGGATGATGGCCTCTGGTTCTTCAGGAATGTATTCTTCAGGTTCTGGTATTTCAAAAGCCAAAACCTGCTCAGGTTCTTCCAGTGCAGTGATGGCCTCTATATCTTGGTAAACAGTTACTTGTTCCATTTCTCTGCGTCCAACAAATGTCCGTATCTCTCGTTCTTCTTCATAATGTGGAGGTTCTGGCTTCTTAGGCACAGCTTCTGGCTTCTTAGGTGGGGCTGCTGGTTCTGCTTTTTTAGGTACAACAGCAGGCTTGGGTTTTTTAGGCACTATAGCAGGTTTAGGTTTTTCAGGAACAACAATAACTTCTCTTTCTTCAACAAGAGTAATGTGCTCTCGTTCTTCAACCACGACAACTGGTTCTGGTTCTTCAGGCTCAGGAATATATTCTGGCTCTTTAGGTAAAACAAGAGTTACTTTTTACAGGCACAGTTTTCTGAAGGGTTTTGAGTGCTTAAAAGATATTAGTTCTACTTTAAGAATTGTTCAAGATATTTAGCTAACATGAAGAAGAACAATGAAACACAATGGACAAGCATAACAAAATCAGCAACTGCGTATTCTCGTACTAGGGCATAAAGAGAACAATCCTGGTAAAACTTTGTGCACTAAGCATTTTAGCACACTGACTGTGCCAACAGCATTGTTTACAAATGAAATTTAAGCAACAGGCACAGACAGGACAAGATATTTTCAGACAACGGCTTCTTAAACAAATTAAAATCATTTCTAAAGCAATGCATAGATGCTGAGATGTACCTTCAACAGGCGGAGGTTCTGGTTTTTTAACTACTGGCACAGGAACTGGTTCTTTCTCTTCAGCAACCACCTTTTTGGGCACTTCAGGCACTTAAAAGATATTAGTTAAATTTTACTATTGTGTTTTGCCAGATAAATGAAAGATACAAGATAGGAAAATATCAACGGTTATGCAAAGAGATAAACGAGGGCTGTGTAACAATGCCAACATACCAACAATTAAGTCTAATTTTTTATCACCAATTGATTGATGACTATTGAGCTGCTATATATGGTACGTATAACACAGGTCACTGAATACAATACATGACAGTCATGAAAGTATATTCAAAGATGATAAAAGTAAGATGTTTCCCCCCTCCAAAATTCTACTGGACACAATATATACCTTTAGTTGGTGGTTCTTTCTTTTTGATGACAGGAACCTTCTCCTCAGGCACAACTTTCTTCGGTACCTCAGGCACTTGAAAGACATTTGTTTGTTTTACTAGTCTCAGTTCCAATTAAGTGTATCAACAAACATTAAAACATAAAGCAGGAACATATAAAACAGTATACACCACAAAAATACCCCCTAAAGATTTATTTCAGCCTCTTTCTTTCTGCTCCCATTGAAACAATCAGTAATGCAAACATATAGATAAAAACAGGGGTATCAGATACATACTAGGAAAATTCTATTTACACCCCTTTTGTGGCACTGAAGCATTGGGTTCCCCTCTTCATAAAAGTAAATTAATTCAAAAGGGAAGTTGTCATTAAGATTGGGGGTTCTTACTTTTATATTGTTGGCAGTAATTTAGGACACAATCCAGGTACCATTCCCTTTAAGCAGTCAACGCATTCTCTGTGCTTCAAAGTAGTCATCTCCTCTCTACCTTATTCTCATAGTTTAATGATATAATCAGTCTGATGAGTTAATTATTTCAGAATATCCCATAACTAACTTTAGTGAAAGGTGAAAACATCTATATCTTTGCTTATAATTTTAACTTTTTCATTCATTCATTTCTGCTTAATATAGATGACAATGGCTTGTTAAAAAAAAATCTTAGATCAATACTCCACAATTTGCAACTCATCAACTTGAATGCAGCCTGCCAGTCATGTATGGTCGCTCATCCAGGGCAAAAACCTCTCTCTCTCTCTCATTCCCCCCTCCCACTACTGTCTCTTTCTAGCACCTGGCAGACCACAGCATATGGGGCTATAGTGCAGTGTTCTGTTTGGTGGGTCACAAGTTATGAGGACTTCTCTTCATTATGTGGTGCTTCACAAGCATGACTGAAAGAGCAACACAAATGTATCTAAAGTTATTTGACATACCCCTGGACCACAGCTCATACTGCAGGCATAAACTAGTCAAAGCTAAGCATTTCTCTTATTCTCACTGGGGCTTACCTTTGGCTACATCATGCTGAATGAATGTAAGAATACCACATCTCAAAGACAACTAATGAATGAAATAACAGATAGTGTGCTTATGAAAAGAAGATAAAAGCTGAATCCTCATACATTAAAATCCAAGGGAATTTTACCATTGATTTCTATATGAGCAGAACTGTACCTAAAGAATTGTATCCAAAGATTGTCATTATCACAACATTGACAAATACCTTTAGCAGGTTCTGGTTTCTTAGGTACTTTTTCTTCTGGTACAATTTTCTTGGGCACTTCAGGCGCTTAAAAGATATTGATTGGTTTTGAGTTTGTGACATCAAGACATAAAAGATTTGAAAACAGTAAACACAAAACACGAGAACAATGACATGGATGATGACGTTCAGATATGATCTTCTCCTGCTGTCTACAGGAGAACACAGACAGGTCAAGGCATTTGACTAATCTTCATCCTGCTCCCAGTCTTCTACATTGTTATAGTTCCCTTCTGATTTTCTTCAAGAAAAATAACCTATATTTCTAATGTCCTGCAGTTGAATTGACATCCCATTCCTTAGTCCTTTCACACAAACGGTCACAATAAATGTATGATATTCACACTAGAGTGGATGGAGACGTATCCCTCTCATATACTAATCTGAACAGACTACAAATGTAAGAACTGTGCTTTTTATTTTTCAACAAATCTCAACTGCCTGCTTATGCAAGCCATGTGATGGTTATAGAGTCGATTGCAAAGAGACCTGCACAGAAGACTAAAGTCTGTTACAAACAATGCCTGGATGGGAAGGAGTATGTCTGTAGCAGAGTGAGCAGATCTGAAGTCTGACCTCTATGCGCTTCCTTGCATAGATGGATGGATGGACGGACGGACGGACGGACGGATGGATAGAGTCTATGCATATTGAAGCGCTGTTTCTACAGATTGTCAATAACCTGCTTTTGTACAAGTTGCATTTGCATTGGCTATGTGCACATCACATGAACAGTGGGGGCTTGCTGCTACCGTTCTGCCCCGAGCTCCTGCCTCTTTAAGCAGGCTGTAGCTGTCTGCACAGGGCAAAGGCTGCCATAAAGGACTGAAAAGCAGGACCGGGCGAGAGCACTTCATGCTGCAGGGCTGCTGACATTAAGCAGGCATGCACTTGTCCAGCACCCTGCATGGGACACCACTGGAGGCTTCGGGTTAAAAAAAGGTCAAATATTTCTTAAGGAGAGGGTGATAGTCTTCCAACTTTCTCATAGGGGAATAAAGTTGTGCAGCACAGGAGAAAACAAGGAGGAGGAAGTATACTATGCTCATCAGATTAAGAAAAGAAGGTTCGATGTGGTTACAATAATGTTGACAAGTACCTTTAGCAGGCGGAGCCTCCGGTTCAGGTGGTTTCTTTTCCGGAATAACTTTCTTGGGAACCTCTGGCACTTTAAAACACATTGGTTAGTTTTAACTTTTGAATGCAGGAGAGAGGAGCAAAGCATCAAAAAAAAGCAAAACAATGCAAAATGAAACTTATGACAACATTCATATTTTCAGTACACTAAGTTGTACCTTTGGGTGCTGGAGGTTCAGGCTCTTTCACGGGTACTTTTTCTTCCGGGATTATTTTCTTTGGCACCTCAGGGACTTCAAAGAAAGTACATTGTTTTAAATCTCAGGCTTCAAAGATATATGTCAGCCATTAAAAAGAGCAAGCAGATTAGAGAAGGGAAAAGCAACATCTGTTTGAAGTGCAAAGAGCTGTATCTTTTTCATATATGTACAAAACATGTAAATGTTATACTATATGCCATGACTTCCACTATGAGTAGTAATCTCAAAGCAAGAAGAGGTTAGGAAGCATATATTAATAAATAGTTATGCAAAAAGAAGACTAATGGATTCTATATTTGTAAAGCAAACAGAGATTCTTTACATCAAAAAGTTCATTATAACGTACCTTTAGCAGGGGGAGGCTCTGGCTTTTTGGGCTCTGGAACCTTAACTTCCTCTTCAGGAACCACTTTCTTGGGAATTTCAGGAACCACTTTCTTGGGAATTTCAGGAACTTTAAAGGCAAGAATTTCTTTTAATAAATGAAATTTCAAAGATGTTTATGTGATGCTAAAATGTATGAAGTTCATAAGGCATCATCAATATGGACAAAAATGGAGGAAATCAGTAGAAATGTGACACAATTCACAGGGATGACTCTTTTGTCTCTAAAGTGCAAATAAAGGAACAAATCTAGACCTTCCCAATTCTCCCTCCACAAAGATATTGGGATATTGATTCCAAGAGCAAAAAAAGCTGTTTTGTAACATTAGCAGCAATACATACCTTTAGGGGGTGGAGCTTCTGGTTCCTTAGGCACCTCGGCTGGTACTTTCTTTTCTGGAACAACTTTCTTTGGTACTTCTGGAACTAGTAATAATATAAAGAGGCAAAGCAGTCACCAGAAAACAATATGAAATAGAGTCACACATCAATTGCTAGTTTGTGATTGCCATATAAACTGAGTACAGAGGACATGCACTTTACTAGCACTGACAGACTGCTTTTGAAAACATGTAGCAAAGCTTGTCACTTTTGTCATACCTTTGGCAGGTGGAGGTTCTGGCTTCTTTGGCACAGCAACAGGAACCTTTTCTTCTGGGACAGGTTTCTTTGGTACTTCAGGCACTTAAAAATATTGGCTTATGTTAATTCTGTGTTTGCAAATCCTTAGAAAATATTGGTATAAATTAACACTGTCACAAAAGCATGGCAGATGGACACAATTGGGCCTTAGTGTGCTTAGCTTTAATGAAAAGTTATAAGATAAATTGCACATATCACATGACTAAGAGTATAAAAAACAATGAAGTGTAGATTCTCAAGATGACAAGCATGGCAGAAGTGCATGATCTTCTCTATCAGTTTTATGAACAGTTTGTACCTTTTGCTGGTGGAGCCTCAGGCTTTTTAGGCACAACTTTCTCTTCTGGAACAGGCTTCTTGGGTACCTCAGGCACTATGAAAGAAAGGTAAGTGGCTTTAGTTTTCCTTTGGTACAAAAGTAATGACATCATTCTTGAGTAATGAAATTACAGCACAGCATACAAACCAAACTAATGCTGCAGTCATAAACGCACTTACTGGGATATAAGTTCCATTGGATCTTAACCCATGATATTGTTTGGCTTGAGGCTGTAATGCTATGCTCATTTTCCACTGCTTCTCATAAATAAGCATGAGGACCACACTGTGCACCCTCTACCATGTACTGCGTTCATGCTTGGAGTCCCTCCTCTGAGTGCCCTGGCTATCTGAGGCGAGTGTGGATTGCAGAAGGAGGTATCTTATTTGTGGCAGCCCAGAAGTCTTTACTCAGGGAACCTCACCCAATGTAGCTTTTTTAAGGCACTGCCATATGCCTAATGCATATCCCCAGTCTTTTAGCTATTGAGATTCTCTTAAAGATGCCAGCTCTATCTGCTGCTTTATATTTGCATCATTTATTAGTACATTGTTATTAGGTTCATTGCAAGGTGCCCTGAAAATCTTCCTATGGTAGGCAGGCAATAAAACGATGAACAAGCGATATATTGATTCCCAGAGAACAGTGCCACCTTTCTTGATTTATAAATATCACTGATATTTGAGAGAACCAACAGAAGATGAAGAGCATGCAGTCTTTAGATGCCAACCAAGTAAGAAGACTTAGAGAAGATCATTTATAAAATGAAAATAGCAATTAACATTTCCAATAATGCATTAGTCACTGTTATGCTCCTGACCAACCCCATCTCTACTTTGCATAAGGTTTACCTTTTGGTGGACGCTTTTCTGGCACAGGAGGTGTGACTTTCTCTTCTGGCTCAATTTTCTTGGGTACCTCAGGCACTTGAAAGAAATAACATTATTTTCTGTTACATTTTTGAGCATTAAAATATAGGTTAAAATATCTAGACTCAAGAGGTGCCTTTAAAGGAATATCAGGAAGGGTAGTGGTAATCTCAAAGACAAGCAGGAATTCATAAGAATAAAAATAAAACATGTCCAAAATTCATATTTTGGAGCACTGAGATTTGAATGCAGTAGAAAGTGAAACTGGTATATTCACATGTGCTGAGTACAAACTTAAGTCCCATTGATATCAGTGGGCCTTAAGCATTCTTAAGTCTTTGGATCATGGCCTAGATTTGATCAAGATTTTGATTTATGAAATGCAATTTAGAAGGAAAAAAAGAAAGCAGAATTTTCAAGAAGATGGGAAAACTATGACACATTTTTCATCAGAATGACTCCAAGAATGAGGTGTACCTTTAGCAGGTGGCGGCTCTGGTTTTTTAGGTACTGCAACAGTTACTTTCTCTTCTGGCACAGCCTTCTTGGGCACCTCAGGAACTTTAAAGATATTAGTATGTTTTAATTTGAATATTTCAAAATAGTTTAAAGCATAATAAGAAGTGAAAAGGATAACAGCTGTATTTCCAAACAGACAGAAAATGACAGAAAACATATATTAACATTGGCAGTATAACCATACAGATGAAAACAAAAAGTAGAAAACAAAAAGTTCCTATTATGCTGCATAAGGCCATTTGTATCCATACTCGATGTGTGATTGAGTCCTACAATGTAGATTAGTACAGAATACTAGATGTCCCACAGAAAAGAAATCTTTAAAAAACTTTTGAGTGACTAAAGACAATGGGATAACAGTTTCCAGGTCCAGATCATTCATAGTAGATATTTACTTTTCTAGGACATATTTGTTGGGTATATCACCTATTTGAAAGATATTACATTGTGTTAATTGCACAAACTGAAGAAGTTATAACAAAGGCAAATAAGAGCTAGACAACAAAAAGTTACGGGGAACAAGACTTGACATGACAGCTTGACATGATTTTGACATTTTGACAAGAAGAAGAGTTTGTACAAATATGAAAACAGATCTTTGACAAAGAAGACTTTTGTTCCACATGAACAAGATCGACATTTATTAAGACAGAATGTATTATTCCCCCGAAGATGGCATCTACCTTTTAATGGTTGAGGTTCTACAGTCTCAGGTACGACATACGGTTCTGGCTTCTTAGGTTTAGCAACAACCACTTTCTCTTCAAGCATTTGAGCCTCAGCTGTTTTGAGCACCACAACTGGCTCTGGTTTCCTGTGTTTGGTAACAACTATCTTCTCTTCTACTTTCACTTCTTCTACTGTTTCAGACACCACAACGGCTTCTGGTTTCCTGCGTTTGACAATTGTTATCTTTTCTTCTTCCATTTCAGGTTCTGCTGTTTGTGGCACCATAATTGGTTCTGGTTGCTTGGGTTTGAGGACAACTTTCTTTTCTCTGGGCACTTGAGGCTCTCCTTTCTTGGGCACCCTAATATGTTCTGGTTTTTTAGGTTTTGAAATGTCTAATTTCTTTTCTGGCAGTTCAGCCTCTATGGTTTCAAGCATCACAGCATACTCTGTTTCTTCAGCAAATGCTATCCTGTCTTCTTCCACTTCAAGTTCTACTGTCTGTGGCACCACAATTGGCTCTGTTTTTCTGGGTTCGGTGACAGGTATCTTTTGTTTTGGCACATGAGGCTCCACTATTGTGGACACCACAATAGGCTCTGTTTTTTGAAGTCTTGTACTATCTACCTTCTTTTTTGATACTTGAGGCTTTGCTGTCTCAAGCATCACAACATGTTCTGTTTCTTCAGCAATAGCTACCCTTTCTTCTTTGACTTCAGCCTCTATTTCTTGTGGTATCACAACTGGCTCTAGTTTTCTTGGTTTGGTAGGAGCTATCTTCTGTTTTGGCACTTCAGGCTCTATTTTGGGCGCCATAATATGCTCTGGCTTTTTAGGTTTTGAAATGGCTGTCTTTTTTCTGGGCACCTGAGTCTCTATGGCTCCAAGCATCACAATATGTTCTGTTTTTTCAGAAATGGATATCATCTCTTCTTCCATTTCAGATTCTATTATTTCAGTCACCATAGTTCGTTCTGTTTTTTTGGTTTTGGTTTCCTCTTCTTCTTCAGACTCTACCTTCTGAGGCACCACAATTGGTTCTGGTTTTCTGGGTTTGGTGACAGCTATCTTCTGTTCTGACACTTGAAGCTCTACAGTTTTGGGCACCATAGCAGGCTCTGGTTTTTTAGGTTTCATGATGGTTACCTTCTTTTCTGGTACTTCTGGTTCTGCGGTCTCAAGCACCACAAATGATTCTGGTTTTTTGGCTATTTTGTCTTCTGGTACTTTAGGCTGTACAGGTTCTGGGGCCACAACAGGTTCTGGTTTTTTAGGTTTAGCAAGTTGTACCTTCTTTTCTGGCACTTGAGGTTCTGCTGTTTCAAGCAGAACTGTGGGTTTTGTTTTTTTGGGTTTGGCAACAGCTATTTTCTTTTTTGGCACTTGAGGCTCTGCTGGTTCAGGTATAGCAACAGATTCTGGTTTGAGTGGTTTAGTAACACGCTTCTGCTCTTCCGCTACTCCTTTTCTGGGTACCTCTGGCACTTTAAATAAAATTAATTCCTTGTAAGAATTTATAAACCACAAAATGCAAATAGTAGCATCACACTGAACAAGAATGAAATAATGGAAAATACACTTTTGTGACTTTGCTCCCTTATGGGTTCCTTGAAGAGCTAATATACCTTTGACTGATGGAACTTCTTGCTTCCTGGGAATGACCTCTGGAACTCTTTCTTCTATTTCTTCTAGAAGAATTTCCTCATATGTTTCTGCCACTTAAAGATATTAGTGGGTTTTTTGAGACATACAAAATTATACTCAGAAAAGCAAAGGATGAAAAAAAAATCCAAAACTGAACAAAGTCCAGTCTTATTTATTAAGAAACATACTCTTTTATACAATCCTTTGCCACTAGAAGATATTAGGGTTTTTTTTGAGACATGCACACTCATACTTGGAAAATTATAGGACAAAACAGACATAACCAAAGACTGTGAACAAGTCATTAAAAACCACACTTCTTTATATCAGACCTCAAAAGCACGCCAGTTGCACGGTTCAAGAATTCACGGCTCTTTCCTCCTCTGCACAGATGTTCTAGCTGAAAGTGGTCCTAGTTTCAATAGACCTATTTGTTTAGACTCAGATGTGCGCCAATAACTATAGAATGGAAGGCAGAATGCCTGTTGTCCAGAGTAAGGGGGCCAGAGTAATGGGGCCATTGTTGTGAGCCGTCCCAAGGCTGTGTAGCAATGGGGACGGCATATAAAAACTTTAAATAAATAAATAAATAAATAAATAAATAAATAAATAAATAAATAATGTGACTTAGAGACACTGAGATCCCATGGCTCATTTATGCCTAAATTCCTTTTAGTCCCATCTTGGCCCTGATATTGGGAGAAAAGAGCCATGGCTGAGGAGTGTCAAGGAAGTAAACCAAAGGACTGGAAATGGATCTGTTTCTATCACCCATATGCCTACTTTTTAAACAAAATCCTCAAGCCCTAAATTAATATGACTGGGCATATTCAGGTGGAAACAAATATGTCTTTCCCCATCACATTTGATTTCTGTCCCAATGGATAACTAATCTGTTTTATGGTTGGAAAGAAGACAAGGCCATAATAACAAGAGTTGGTGGTACTAGGTAATAACATCCTTTCATAAGCTAAAGTTAACCTATGAACCCACCAACTAGACATGCCTTTAAAGTTGTAACCATCTATGCATTTACCTGGAAGTAAGTCTCACTGAACACAGTGGGACTCATTTCTGAGTAAACAGGCATAGGATTACACTGTGAATTCAAATGGAGTTGATCCAGTTAAAAGTTCTTTAGCATGTTGTAAGCCGCCCCGAGGTTTCGGCAAGGGGCGGCATAGAAATGTTATAATAATAATAATAATAATAATAATAATAATAATAATAATAGGTTTCTGAGTTGTAGTCAACCCATCCTTCAATTAAGATTTGATGTTTTTTCTGACTGCTGCCAATCAGCTCTTTCATTAAGTGGTTCTCATTTTATCTTTTTCACAATAGGTTTTTTTTCTCCCCCGCCCCCACCCTTTTTAATTGAGAAAGATTTTTACTAAGCCATATCTTGGACAGACACACATAAATGTGATTTGCAGGGTGGGGGTTTTTTTGTGCTATTTTAATATGCCTAAATGTCTATCCTATTCATAATTAAATGGGACAAAAAAGGATCATTTTACCATAACTACCTTTGACATACCTCACACCTTGGATTTGAATTCTGAGGACTGACAGGACAGAAGAATTTTCTGACCTTCTAATTACAGGTACATGTGCTTTCAGTGGGTGTAGCTTTTTCCTAAATAATGGAACTGATACTTGTTCCTTAGAAAAGACTTTCTTTGTATCACAGGCACTTTAAAGATATTAGTTGGTTGTAAGAAAGTATATACACAGAAACAGAAAGACAAAATAAACAATTTATGACATTAGTACACAAAATTCAGAACTGCGTTTGATGGTATCTTTCTTGAAATGTGTTCACTTATTATTACTTTCCCTGAAAAGTTGATGTACCTTTAGCTGCTGGAGGTTCCAGTTCTTTAGAAATCCATGTACTAGGAATTATTTCTTGTGGGATGGCCTTCTCTTGAATTTCAGGTGCTTTAAAGATATTAGTAATTTTTTTTAGAAACATGGGCGTTTTAAATAAAAGTTAGTGTAAAATACAAAGAAAACAAATGACATCAACACACATATTTCAAACATCCCATGACACATGTTTAATTTTGACACATGGTTTCTTCCACACTAATGTTACATTGACAAAACAGCTGATCATTTCTTCTGTACGTACTCCAACTTTGGATGACATGTAATGCTGGATAAAATATAGTATTCTAAAACTCCTTAAACATACTTACTAGGCAGTAAACTGCACTAAACAGAGTGGGACTCGTTTAAGATAACAAGATTGGGATTGTGCTATTTCTGCTTTTTCCCTTAAAATGGCATTGGGAGAATTCTAGTGTTTCTCCATTCAGGCTTCTGCATTCTATCGAAAGATAAGCTTAGCTATAGATGGTATCTTGGACAATCATACACACATCCAACTGAAAGATATCAGATTGTTGATAGAGATTAGAATATTATCTAATCTGATCATTTTTCTAAATTGCTTAAATTATTCACAATCAATTTGGCAATTAACTAGACTAACACAAAACACTGAATTCAAAAAGAGATGAGATGAAATGTAAACAATGAAGATAAAAATGAAGAATCTGATTTCTTCTGGTTGCAGTAAGCAGTTTATTACCTTTAATGAGCGGAGTTTCATCTTTAGGTGCAAGAGGAGGTTTCTTCTTTTCTGGCACAGCTTTCTTTGTCACTGGAGGCACTTTAAAGATATTAGTATATTGGTTTGATTGTTTTTTAGTGTATAGGCAAACATGAAATATATCAGACAAAAAATAAAGGGGACAGCCCAAGAGGAAGTCTAAAGAATGGGAAACCAATTTAAGAGAAGTTGATTGGTTTGGAAATTTGTGAAAGAAGTAAAGTACCTTTAGCAGGTGGAGTTTTCGGCTTTTTGGGAATGCTAACAGGGACCTTTTCTTCTGGAAAGACTTCCTCTTCCAATTCAAGCACTTTAAAGATATTAGTATATTTGAGAAGTTTCAAAAGGTTGCAAAAGTCAGGTTAAGAAGACAACATACAGTGCAGATGAACAGAGAAAGGGCACAAAATGAAGCTGTTGTAATAATACTCGAACTAAGGAAACATGAAAGAAGCTCAGTTCATTTAGAGGTTGCACTTCTTTGTCTGTATTATTTCCCTTGCCTTTAAAAAGGGGATGGGGGAGGGGGTTGGTAGCACAAGCAATTATTTTGTCTCTACAGCTGAATTATTATCTTCTTCCTGACATGGAGACAACCAGCTTTCCTTCCAATGCACCATTCCTTTATGTCTCTCTCTAGCCAGGGAAAGCTCCAGATAAAAAGCTTGATGGGATGCTTTGTAACAATCTTCTGCATTGGACCTAGGAGTCTAACTTTGGCTCTCACGGGCTGCTGACTGACTGCACTACATTTTACTCTTAAGCCAAAACATGGAAACATATTTTAAAAGGAGACACTAGGACTAAATATATAAAGACTGATAGGGTTAGTGAAAGCCTAACATCTATGAATCAGGCACCCTGGTGTTGCTTTACCTATATGCAGTGCAAATTAAATTATGATGATGACTGATTAGCTGTCTAAATGTTCTTATTTAAAATAAATAAATAAAATGCTGATGTACCTTCAACTGGAGAAGCTTCCTTTTCTCTGGGAATAACATAAGTAACCTTTTCTTCAAAGACAATTTCCTCGTGAACTGCAGCAGCTTTAAAGATATTAGTTTTCTCTGAGACCTTTCAGCTATTCAAACATTCGCTATCAAACAACATCACCTCAGAGGCAGAATAATTTTTAAAAGTCATCTACAGCCAATTATCTTAGTATGTTTCAGAGGCAAAATATTTTGAGGGCTTCTTGCCCAGAAAATAAGGAATGAGTTTTTTTTTTTTAAGAATTTGAAAAAGAAATCTATCCAACCAGCTTCTTACAACTGATATGCCTTTTCCACTTATACAATGGATATGTCATCAAATAATTTAGAATATTTTCCAGTGTTACCAAAAAAACCCCACATAATCACCTAAACCAGGTAAGTCATCTGAAATTTTACCTCCAGATTTCTAGAGTTCCACAGAACTTATGACATGCTGGTGCTATGGCACCTAAGAACCATAGCTCCAATTCAGCTGCACTGAATATTCAACTAAGCTTATAATTATTTCTATAAGTTAAATTATTGTAAGGTGCATCTGTGCTTTTTATTCTTGCCTTAAAAAAATAATCTACCTTTCACTGTGGGAAGTTCTTCTTCTTCAAGGGCAACTACAGCTATTTTTTCTTCAGGGACAGCTTTCTTGGGAATGGCAGGCACTTTAAAGACAGAATGTACTCAAACTTATTTGGAGAAAAGCATGCCTCTAAAAGAATGCACACATTGACAAAGCCCTCTTTTCTAGGGCTTGTGTGTTAACACAAAAGATGCAAGAATTGAAACATCCTTTCCCCCTCAATACTGAATCTACCTTTAGGAGGTGGAGGCTCTTTTCTTTTTGGAACAGCCTTAGGCACTTTATCTTCAGGAACAGCTTTCTTGGGCACTTCAGGCACTTTAAACATACAGTAATTTGTTTTAGTTATTAATTAATTTAGAGATCTTAGAAGAATGGTATCAATAATAATGAAAGAAGAGTACTTAAAAAGTTCACACACTGGACACATAGTCTCACATACTGAACACACAGGCACATGTAATCAACACATACAAAGGAAGGCACACAACATATGTATACAACAAACATAGGGACACAATGAGAGACGCACGTGAGGACTTTTTGTTTCATAAAGTGTACCTTTAGGTGGAGGAGCCACTTCTTTTTTAGGAACAGGTACTTTTTCTTCTGGGACTGGCTTCTTGCGCACTGCAGGCACTTTAAAAACATTGATTTCTTTTTAAGAACAGCTCTTCATTTGAATTATGAGCTAAGTACAACAGTAAGCAAACTAAACTAGAAAGGACACTCACAAAAACTGTAGAAAGGATGTAAAAAACACTAACTTACAGTAGGAAATATTGGTTAAATCCTAAGTCGAACCACAACATAAAAATGCCTCTGTTCTCCTAGGCAGTATGTCAGAATGGCTTGCTTCTACTTTTTAGTAATTGACAATTGACAAATGATCCATTAAACGCACTCATATTTATGTGGCTTTATCCACCATCCCAATTCAATTCTTGCCATTGCAAAACTATTTTGGAGGAACTGCCAACCCTCTGGAGCCATCTTCTTTTAGGCATTTGTGGGCTGCAAACATGGGGGAAAGCAGGAAATGGTCCCATACACATGGAAGTGTCTTTTGATATCACAGTGGGATCCTTTACTCCAAGCCTCCATGTTCAGGATTACTTTGCTCAGTGTGACTTGGGCTGTATTTTCAAACCTTACTTTGAATTCAAGGCTTTCAGCTTAACTGGGTATGGCTGTGGCTTTTGCATGAACTAAGCAAAAAACACTTTCCAATTTAATAAAGATTGTATCACCTTTTTGCTTTCATTGGCTCACTCTCTGTTTCCCTAATTTTGTTGTGTCAAGTATGAGAAAATCTGATAACTAAGCTGCTGTGAGGAATTGCTACAAGATATGGTACATAGTCCTGTCCTGAAAGAAGACACAGCTATATACTATATTCATAGTTTGGCATTATGGTTACTGAAAAGGGCATTTGGGCTTTCATAGAACAAAAAGGAATAGCTTTAGGAGCTTATGTACCTTTGGCTGGTGGAACTTCCTCTTTTTTAGGTACTGCAATTGGAACTTTTTCTTCAGGAATGTGTTTCTTTGGCACCTCTGGCACTTGAAAAATATTGTACAACATACTTAGTTACTTGCAAGAAGCCAGATTATCAAGTTCAGAAGGCTTTAATCACAATTAAATTGTGGTTTTCAACTCCTTAACAACAACTAGCACAGATGGTCTGTCCCACCCTGAGAATGTTCTCTTTTTGGTGGATTTTAGGAGGAACAGATGCAGTAAATACCAGGGGAACAAAATTTGAGGACGGGTTGGTACTGGGGCAAGAAACAGAAAACAAAGGAAGAATAGATATACCTATTGCTGCTGGAGCCTCATAGACCTCCTCATATTCTTCAACCTCTCTGGTTTCCTGAACCTCTTCATAATGCACAAGTTCTTCTCGTTCCCATGTTTCCTCGTACCGCTCAACTTCCTCTGGTTCTGGTGCTTCCTCATATCGCTCGACTTCAGGTTCTTCTGCAACTTCCTCATAATATTCTGGAGCCTCCTCATAGTCTTCATATTCTGCAACCTCTTCAGGCTGCACAAACTCCTCAATCTGCTCATAGGTCTCATACTTCTCATATTCTTCATAAACGTATTTTTCAACTGTGGGAGCAGGAACAGTGACTCTTTTTTCAGGAAAAGGTTTCTTATGTACCATAGGCAGTTTAAAGATATTATTAACTTTCTATTATCTCAAAGACTGGCAGAAAAGGAATACAAAATAAAATCCCGGCAAAACCACAGACAGATTTCAAATAATTACAAGTTTTAAAAAATAATTAGAAGACATTTTGCAAGAAGTTTTTAACGCATGTGTGTTTGATATTTAATACTACCAGTCAACAGAAATAAACTAGAAGATATTAGGAAAAAGTAGGAGGAACAAAATTCTTTACAAGAGTTTAAGAGAGACAAAAACTGAATCCTTATATTCCTTTGGCATAACAGCAGGTATTTTTACTCATGGATCTTTGGCTTTTTTACCTTGGGGACTTTAAAATGCCTTGCTAATTTAGGCAGGCATTGTAAAATGTTCAATAAAGTATGAATAAAAAAAACCCAGAAAACCATATTACCATATATCAACTATAAAAATCATAAAGTAAGAAGACAATGTAGGAAAATCTTACATATATTTGACAGAACAGGAATGACAACACACAATCTAGTGACATAAAAGAAGACTTCTTTTTAACATGGGTATGAATAGATGTACCTTCAGGTGGTGCCTCTACTTTTTTAGGAGGAGCAGTGGGTACCTTCTTTTCGGTGACAACTTTCTTGGGCACCTCAGGCACTTCAAAGACATAACAGCACTTTAGAATGTTGTGCATGTCAGAATTTCACATTGGTCAAAGTATGTGATTACACAATGTAGACATACATAATGGTACAACATAAACACTGATCCTTCTTAAGTGATGGAATAACAGGGAGGATCAGGAAATGGCATAATAATTATTTCCATACAGCTTACAGATGAATGTACCTTTTGCTGGTGGAGCAGGCACCTTTCTGGGAACCGGCACTTTCTCTTCTGGGACTGGTTTAGGAACCTCAGGCACTAAAGATATTAAGTTATTATGAGTATTTGATCTCAAGCCACCACAGACAAACATATGAGACAACCCAAGATTCAGAAGAGTATAAATTATGCTTAAGGTATAAACTAATGTTTTTGCAAATACTGGATGTACCTTTTGCTGGTGGAGCTGGGACCTTTTTGGGAACAGGCACTTCCTCTTCTGGGACAGGTTTAGGAACTTCAGGCACTTTAAAGATATGATGTTATTATAAGAATGTGATCTCAGTCAATGAACAAACATGAGACAACACAAGAGTTCAAAGAATATAAACTATACCTATTGCACAAATGAACATTTGTGTAAATACTGAATGTACCTTTTGCCGGAGGAGCTGGGACCTTTTTGGGAACAGGCACTTTCTCTTCTGGGATGGGTTTAGGAACCTCAGGCACTTTAAAGATATGATGCTATTGTAAGAATTTGATCTCAAGCCACCATGGACAAACATATGAGAAGTCACAACATTTTGAAGAATATAAATTATACGTAAGGTACAAACTAATGTTGAAAATACAATGTATTTGCAAACTTAATATTTTGCAAATACTGAATCTACCTTTTGCAGGAGGAGCAGGCACCTTTTTGGGAACCGGCACTTTCTCTTCTGGGACAGGTTTAGGAACTTCTGGCACTTTAAAGATATGATGTCAGTATAAGAATTTGATCCCAAACCACAGTGGACAAATTTGAGACAATGCAACATTCTGAAGAATACAAACTATCCTTTGTGTACAAAGGAATGTTTGTGTACATAGGGAAAGTACCTTTTGCTGGAGGAGCAGGCACCTTTTTGGGAACCGGCACTTCCTCTTCTGGGACTGGTTTAGGAACTTCGGGCACTAAAGATATTATGTAAGAATAAGAAATTGATCTCAAGCCACTGTGGACAAACACAGAAGACAGCACAGCATTCTGAAGAGGATACATTATGCTTAAGGGACAAACGAATGTTTTTGCTGAATGTACCTTTTGCTGGTGGAGCAGGCACCTTTTTGGGAACCGGCACTTTCTCTTCTGGGACTGGTTTAGGAACTTCAGGCACTTAAAAAAATACAGGGGTTTTTTTTTTAAGAATTTTTTAAAGTTACAACACTAACAGAATTCTCACCAGTTTACAGTATTTGCTATCAAGAATTCCAAAGCCATTTTCTGACATTACAAACAGACAGAGCTGACATTAAAAGGCCATTTCATGCTACACAATGTGAATTTTTTTCCAGTACATAGTTGGTCTAATTCCACTGAATTCAGTGGCAAAGAAGAAGTTTGATTAGATGGGAGATCCTGAACACAAATGAATAAAATACAATGCTATATACACAATGCTATAATATACTAACTCTTTGCAGAAAGTATTAATCAATGCAGTTTTTGCAGGAAGTGGAAGCTCCTTTTTGGGGGGAACGATTACAGAAATTTTTTTTCCCAGGACAACTTGCCTTGGCACTTCTGGGACTTTAAACATATCTTCTCAAATTAAGCTATTTGTGCATAATCAAATAGAGAACCACAAATACATCATAGATCATAGTGCATGGACAGGTTGAAGGAACAAAGGGAAAAAGCACAGGTCAGGATCCATGGGGCTCTTTCAGCTCCAGCTATGGACTTGCACCAGCCTAGTTGAATTTGTGACATTTTTATTTGATCAGCAGCTCCCGCCCACCCACACAACTGTGCTATATCATAAACTACTTGTGGATCTTCCTTGAGCTGGAAAAGCAGCTTGCCATGTGTTATGTGGGGCTGCTATTCAAGATAAATCATGCACTGTAGTCCTCTGTATGTTTACGTGAAGGTCAATCCCATAGTGCTCAATGGAATGTAGGAAACTGCCTTGATATTGAATAAGCCTAGCTTTCCTTTGAGTTCAGTACAGTTGACCCTGACTGGCAGCAACTCTGCAGAGGTTCAGGCAGGATTCTTTCCAAGCCCACTCTGGAGATGCAAGGGACTGAGCCCAAACTGCATGCAAAGGATGTGCTCTGCTAGGGGTGAGCTGGTGCTCCCTGGAATCCATCAGGCCAGCATTA